CCCCCGTTAGCTAAGGAAAGATATATTCATCCTGGAGTAAGTCCAGAGAAGACTCACTAGGTTGATCACACGCATGAGGGATTTTCTTATGGCAAGAGTTGATTAGGTTGGACCTGTATTCATTGGAGTTTAGAAGAATGAAAGATGTTTTGAAAAATATGGTTCTTAGGGGACTGGACAGGATAGATGTTAGGAAGCTTTGAGGGAACATTTAGGACCTCATGGCATAATTTCAGAGAAAAGACTCGGCCTTTAAAGACAGAGCAGAGAGGGACTTTTTTCCTCTGATGTTAGCGAATCTGTGGAACTTTTCACTGCAGAGAACTGTCAAGGCAGTGTCATTAAGGATATTCAATATTTAGAGAAACAGAGTTCTAATCAGTAAGGGAAGCAAGGATTACCTGATGGGCAGAATGGCATACTTAGGTTCCTACATCTATGGCCCTTTAACTGTGTATCCCTGACTACTTTTCACCCATAATACCTGTGCCTCGTATGTTCCTCTGTGTTTCTGTTTGTGTCTATGTGGGAATTTAAAAGAGGTGGGTTTAAGTTGTATAGTCAGAAATTAGTAATTCATTTTGCTTTATTTAGCCATTGGTTCAGAAATTCAGTTTGGTTACGACAAGGAGTTATTTTCCTGTTAGTGACAAAAACCAGATGTGCTTTTCTTTTAACCTCAATTAGACAGTCAGGTAAATTGGGTGTTTTGATAGTTTAAATAAATGTTTACGTTTGTGGCAACTGAGGGGAACAAGGGGACTTAATATCGGCACACTCTCCTAAGCAAGTTGTAACATGTATTTTTAACCATTTTTTAAAATCTACCTGGTGCATAAGGACTTATACAGTTAATGGTAGGCGCCTGGGTAGTGTGATCGAAGGACCTAGGAGTCCAGGTACATAGCTCTTTGAAAGTTGTATCACAAGCAGACAGGGCAGTTAAGAAGGCATTTAGTATGCTTGCCTTCATTGTTCAGACCATTGAGTACAGGAGTTGGGACGTCATGTAGAAGTTGTACAGGAGGTTAGTGAGGCCACTTACGAAGTATTATGTACAATTCTGGTTACCCTAATACAGGAAGGAAATTATTAAATTGGAGAGGGTTCATAAAAGATTTAGCAGGGTGTTATGGAGGCTGGAGGGTTTGAATTATAAGGATAGGTTGGACAGGCTGGGACTTTTTCATTGGAGCGTTGAGGGTTGACCTTGTAGGGGTTTATAAAATCATGAGGGGTATGGATAAAGTGAATAGCAAAAGTCTTTTCCCTAGTGTGGGTGAGTTCAAAACTAGGGGTCATATTTTTAAGGTGAAAGGAGAAAGATTTAAAAAGGACCTGAAGAGGAATCTTTTCACATGGAGGATGGTTCATATGTGGATTGAACTGCCAGAGGAGGTGGTAGATGTAGGTACAGTTACATTTAAAAAGCATTTCAATAGGTACATGATTAAGAAAGGTTTAGAAGGAAATGGCCCAAATGCAGGCAAGTGGGACGAGTTTAATTTAGGAAACTTGGTCAGCATGGACAAGGTGGACTGAAGGATCTGTTTCTGTGCTGTAAGACTATGACTTTATGCAGTTATTTGTTCCTATATATGTCAGGTTCCTCTTTGCCTGCATCTGTATTAAAATTGCAACCTCTATTTTCAGTTGACTCTCCACATTCTTCCTACTAAAGTGTATGGTCACCATTCCCTAGGGAATTTTTTTACTTGGAGATCATTTATTAAACCTGCCTCATTACACATTGCCAAATCCAAAATAACCTGATCCCTGGTCGGATCCATACCATATTAGTCTGTTAAATTATCCTGAAGTGACTATCATTTTTTCCCCCCATACTGCCTATTTTTACATACCCTCTATTATTTTCTGATTTACCCTCTGTCATACAGTATAGCTACAATTAGGGGGCCTATAGCCAACATCCACCAGTGATTTCTTCCCACCGTTATATTTTACCTCCATCTATAATTGATTCTACATCATCTCATCCTAGATCATATCTTCGTATCACAGTTATTCCATCCTGTACTAACAAACCTGCCCCACCACCCTTCCCTTCACGTCTGCCCTTTTGAAAAGTTGCATACCCTGAATATTTAGTTCCAGAATTTGATCTTCTTATAACCATGTGTCCATAATAGCTATAAGTTCATACCCATTAACTGCTACTTGTGTTGTGAATTCATTTATTTTGTACTGACTATTAAACTCATTTAAGAGTCAATTTTGCCCTCTCCACAGCCGAACTTACTGGATTTGCCTGGACACTGGTCTCCGCATGGTTCAACTCAAACCTGTCCCACTGACAACGCTCATTTCTAACCCAGTACTGGTGCCAGTGTCCCGCAAAATGAAAACTATTTCCGCTCGGTGGCTCAGTGATTAAAACTGCTGCCTCACAGTGCCAGGGACTTGGGTTCAATTCCAGCCTCAGGCTGTGTGGAGTTTGTACATTCTCCCTGTATTTGCATGGGTTTCCTCTGGGTGCTCTAGTTTCCTCCCACAGCCCGAAGATGTACAGGTTGGGTGGATTGGCTATGCTAAATTGCCTTAGTGTCCAAGGATGTGCAGGCTAGGTGGATTAGCCATGGGAAATGCAAGTTTACAGGGTTAGGGCAGAGGGGTGGAGCTAGGTGAGATGTTCTTTGGAGGATTGTGTGGACTCAATGGGCCGAATGGCCTGCTTCCACACTGTAGGGATTCTATGATTCATTTATAAATTATAAATTAATGACTACATAAATATGACTGACATTTGGAACAAAATAAACAAATTGACAGCACACTTTTAGAATTATTTCTTTCAGTATCTGAATATGGCTTGGTGCTCTTTCAGAGAATTGGAGAGAGCATGCTTCCAAAGAAAGGGAACTGAAAGATGTTGACACAACTGACTTCTGCACATTTCTTCTTGCTCTGGTTTGCACTTCGCCCTCAGGGTCTGAGTTAACATACAATTGACTTAATCAGTGCGTTGTTACTATGACGAACTCTCCTGAACCCACAACAAATACTGCCAATAGAGATAACAAGGTGGATGAACACAGCAGGCCAAGCAGCATCAGAGGAACAGGAAAGCTGACATTTCGGGCCTAGACCCTTCTTCAGAAATGGGGGAAAGGAAGGGGGTTCTGAAATAAATAGGGAGAGAGGGGGAGGCGTATAGAAGATGGATAGAGGAGAAGATAGGTGGAGAGGAGACAGACAGGTCGAAGAGGCGGGGATGGAGCCAGTAAAGGTGAGTATAGGTGGGGAGTTAGGGAGGGGATAGGTCAGTCCAGGGAGGACGGACAGGTCAAGGGGGCGGGATGAGGCTAGGAGGTAGGAGATGGGGGTGGGGCTTGAGGTCGGAGGAGGGGATAGGTAGGAGGAAGGACAGGTTAGGGAGGCGGGGACAAGCTGGGCTGGTTTTGGGATGCGGTAGGGGGAGGGGAGATTTTGAAGCTTGTGAAGTCCACATTGATACCATTGGGCTGCAGGGTTACCAAGCAGAATATGAGGTGCTGTTCCTGCAACCTTCGAGTGGCATCGTTGTGGCCCACCCCCATCTCCTACCAACTAGCCTCATCCCACCCCCTTGACCTGTCCGTCCTCCCTGGACTGACCTATCCCCTCCCTAACTCCCCACCTACCCTCACCTTTACTGGCTCCATCCCCGCCTCTTTGACCTGTCTGTCTCCTCTCCACCTATCTTCTCCTCTATCCATCTTCTATCCGCCTTCCCCTCTCTCCCTATTTATTTCAGAACCCCCTTCCCCTCCCCCATTTCTGAAGAAGGGTCTAGGCCCAAAACATCAGCTTTCCTGTTCCTCTGATGCTGCTTGGCCTGCTGTGTTCATCCAGCTCTACACCTTGTTATGTCAGATTCTCCAGCATCTGCAGTTCCTGCTATCTCTGAAACAAGTACTGCCAATTTGCTTGGATTCAATGCCCTAAAAAAGTAACATTGCCTCTATGCATCAGTCTTCTTGCATGTTCTAATTTCTGAAACCATCGTCAACCTTTTTGTGGAAGGGTCATCGGACTGACACGATAACTGATTTTTTTCTTCACAGATGCTGTCAGACCTGCTGAGCTTTTCCAGCAACTTGTGTTTTGTTTCGTCTTCCTTGTTTTCAATCTATGAACCAAAAAAGTGGTTACTCCATGTGGGATATTGCGATTTATAGTTACATTATAGTAATGATGAACCTTTATAAATTAGTCAATTAGAGTATTGAGTCCAGTGGAGTAACACATTGTATGAAGGATCTGAAAAGTTTTGCAACATGAGAGACTCAGTTGCGTACATAGATTTGGAATTGCTGGGACTGACCACCTTGGAAAAAAGGTTGAGAGAAGATTTGATAGGGTTGTTCAAACTCAACGGGAGAGATTGGTGCCATTGGCAGAACAGAGCAATTTAAACAGAACTGAACGACGAACAAATCAGAATCAATAAGTGGCCAAGATTTGGGGATACTGTTCAAATGACAATACATTCCTGACACACAGCCCATATTATTCCATTCACCATGAGGGTGTGAAATCCGCAACCAATCAGCATCGATGAGGTGGGACTAGGGTATGACACACAGAGGGGCGGTGTCCCCTGGTAACCAATGGAAGGCGCGGCTGTGGAGGAGCGGCGGTGAGTGGGCGGAGCCGGCGCCTGCCATTCACCGTCGGCGGTTTGATTGACAAATAGGTGCTAGGCTGGTGTTTGATCGACACGCGGGGGCAAGGGATGGGCGGTGCCAGTGGGCGGTGGCGTTTATGTCTGATTGGCAGATGGGGTAGAGGAGGCGGGCTTGTATGTGATTGACAGTTGCGTGCGGGTGGCTGGGGCGGTTATGGGTGTGAGGGTGGTGTAGAAATTTGATTGACAACGTGATGGGCGAGTAGGATGGTGGGTTTGGGCGGTGCTGACGTTTGATTGACAGTGTGATGAGCGAGTAGGATGGTGGGTGTGGGCGATGCTGGTGTTTGATTGACAGATGGGTGCGGTTGGCGTGACGGGAGAGAGTATGGCTGGTCGCTTCCTTGGATGGTAATGGCGGAGTCCGGGGTTGGAAGATTGTTGGAGGACGCGTTGCGGGTTTTCAGGGAGAATTACCCGATGTACGAGCCCAAAGTCGGCGTGGCCGCTCCGGGAAGAGTGAATCTTATCGGAGAGCACACAGACTATAATCAGGGATTCGTATTGCCCGTGGTGAGTGGGAGAGTAGCGTGAGGGAGGGCCGAATGGTTAGGAGAGAGGGAGGGAAGCAAGACATTAGAGAAAGTCATTAGAGAAAGGTGGAGGAAGAGGGTTTAGAATGAGGGAGTGGGAGAAGTGAGGCAGATGGGGTGGAAGTTGGTTGTGCAGGAGAGAGTTTGTGTCTGGGGGTTGGGAATGGGAAGGGCTGGAGGGGAGAGGGGGTAGTTTCTGCGTGAGGGTATGGGGAGGAATGGCATTCGGGAGGTTGAAGAGTGAAGGGAGTGGTGAAGAGATGGAGACTGGAGAATCAGAATCTCTACAGTGTGGAAGCAGGCCATTCAGCCCATCAACTCTACACCAACCCTCTGAAGACCATCCCATCCAGACCCACCACTTCCCTGTAACCCAGTATTTCCAGTGGTTAACCTGCACATCTTTGGACTGTGGGAGGAAACCAGAGCACCTGGAGGAAACCGACACAGACACAGGGAGAACAAAGCAATCTCCACATAAACAGTTGCCCGAGACTGGAATCAAACCCCGGGGTCCCTGATGCTGTGAGGTAGCAGTGCTAACCACTGAGCCACTGTTGAGGAAGGGGTGGCAGGGGTTTGAGGGAAGTACTTTGAGTCAGGAGTCTTACTAAAGGGAACAGATGAGCCAAGTGTGAGAGAAGGCTTGGTGGGAGAAGGGATGAGCTGAGGGATAGGGATGAATTTGAGATAATGGGGAGGAGGATAGAAATGGGGTGGGAAAGAACTTGATTGACAAGCCAGAGGGAGGAGAGGGGGAGAGAGAGAGAGAGCTAAGAAGTTGTGGGCAGGGGTGAAATTGAGGAAAAATGGGGAGGAGGGTTTCTGGACTGGGAGGGAGAGGGGCAGCTGGGGAGCGTGCTCTCCCAAATCCTGACCAATCATTCAGCCACTGTCACTAAAACAGAAAACCAGGTCTTACAGATTGTGGGATCCTGCTATACTGAGATGGGTAGATGGATGCCAGACTTTATAGGAGCAAATTACTGCAGATGCTGGAATCTGTGCAGGAAGCAAACAATGCTGGAAATCATAGAGAGTCAGGCAGCATCAAACTGTTAGCTGCTCTGTCTCTCCGTGGATGCTGCCTGACTGCTATGATTTCCTGCCAGACTTTGTACATTATAACAGTACAAATCAGAGTGACCTGTGTTGTTTGTAAAATGGCTTGGCACTTTCTGATTCTGTCAATGCTGCTATATAAATCAATGATGTTGCTTGGAAAAATATGTTTTTAAGTGCTGTATGAGTGTTTCATTTGTGGAGGTGTAGATTTAAAGCAAAGCGGTGAACATTAGGAAGAGAAGCTTGAAAAGAAAAGGAGAAAAGAGATTCTTTAGTAGTCTGATTTTTGAAATGGTTGATGGCTGGTGGCTAATAATCTGTTATTCCTTAAGGCTCTCCCAATGGTCACAGTAGTTGTCGGCTGTCAGAGTGCAGATGGGATCATTTCGTTACTTACTACTGCAAAGGAGGCAGATGAACCAAAGCAACTGGAATTTCCTGTGCCAACTGAATCAAAGCCTCTGAGTCCTGGCATACCTTGCTGGGCTAACTATGTGAAGGGAGTTATTCACCATTACAGGGGTAAGAGCATTTGTTGCTACTGGAGATCACTAACATGTTGAGCTGCAATTTGTTTAGGTCTGGAGAGTCCAAAGTAAAAATGATCATAGAGACAAGAAAGATACTAATTTGGGGGCCCTCTTGTGGTCCAGTGGTAATTTCCTTACCTGGACAAGAGGCCCGGGTTCAAGTCCCACCTGCTCCAGAGGTGTAATAACATCTTTGAACAAGTTGATTAGCCGATACCAAGGTGGGCAGGAATTGTGAGTTTTGAGGAGGATGCAAGGAGGCTTCAAGGTGATTTAGATAAATTGAACCGGTAAGCAAACACATGGCAGATGCAATATAATGTGGCTAAACATGAAGTTATATACCTTTGGTGTGCAAACCAGAAAGACAGACTATTATTATGCAAGACACTTAAGGGATTTAACAGACTAGATTAGGAAAGGTTATTTCTCTTCATGGAAAAACCTAATATCTGAGTAAGTGGTCTCCCATTTAATACAGATGAGAAATTTCTTCTGTCAGAGGATAGTGAATCTGTTGAATTCTTTACTGCAGAGGGCTGCAGATCATTAAGTATATTCACGGCTGAGATGGACGGATTTTTAAGGAGTAAAGTGCTTGAGGGTTGCGGGGACAAGGGAGGAGAGTGGAGCTGAGTATCATCAGATCAACCACGATTGCATTGCATGATGAAACAGACTCAATGAGCTGCTGCTCCTTATTGAAATGGTGCTAGATTGAAAAATATGAATGTACAAAGGCAGGTGCAGCAAGCAACCAGGAAGGCAAATAGTGTGATAACAAGGTGTAGAGCTGGATGAACACAGCAGGCCAAGCAGCATCAGAGGAGCAGGAAG